CTTTTCTTATTTCGTTATGCGTTTCAGGTACGTAACCTAAACGTACCTGAACACGAAAGTAAGCACTTTTAAGAGATTTACTTATTAATTGTTATGTTCATACGTTATGTATCGATTATTAAATGAAAGAATTTCATTATTTTGATCTTTTCTTTATATAAATACATTCTCGTTCATCTTGCTTAAAACTTGTATTCACGATATAACCATTTATATATATATATATATATATATATGTGGGACGAATACCTCCATGTCAAACTTATTAGGCATTCGTAAGAAGAATTGGTCAGTGCTGACTGGATAGCTTAATTGGTTAAAAGAGCAGTCGCCCGGAAAGCGGAAAAGAGAGATTCGTGGGTTCGAGTCCCGGTGCAGTCAATTCCCAGCGTTCCAATTTTTTTCACGAATCCCACATTATATATCAAATAATAAAAATAATATTTAAATTAAATAATAATTAAAAAAATAATATAATATTAAAATTATTATATAATAATTATATATATTATATATTTATTAAATTATATATTATAATTAATATATAATTTAATATTAATTATAATATTATTTAATTGATATATAACATATATACACAAATTAATTAAAAATAATAAATATATAATAAATGATAAAAATAATATATAAACTAAAAATAATATAAATAATATATAAATTAAAAATAACATAAATAATAAAAATAATATATAAATTAAAAATAAATTTAAAAAAATAATAAATAAATATAATAAATAATAAAAATAGTATATAAATTAAAAAAAAATTAATATTAACGATATATGATATTAGATTATCGTATATAATAATATATAAATTATATAATCCTTATATTATAATTAATTATAACATTATCTCATTTATACATGTATTATGGACGTATTTATGCACGTGTTTATATACGTGTGTACATATGTATCTACATGTATATATCTACTTCTTATATATGTACATACGAGTTTGTACATCGAACATTCGTCGTCGGTGGCTTTGAAACGATACACGCTTCGAGGCGTCCAAAGCAACGTTCGATACACAGGTAACTTCCGGAGGAAAGCTACAGGAGAGTATTCCTCCTCCTCCTGCCTCCCTTCCTCCCTCATACCCCGAAGCCAATTATTGGTTAGGATACAATTAATTATTTCTACGAAGCAGACATCATTACGATCAACATCGGTTGATTAGTTTTCTGCCGAGAAAGATATCTATCGATCGGTATAACTCACGTTATCTCTCGTACGATCATCTATTCATCTTCGAAGATATATTGCATTAAAAATCTATAAAGAATATATATATTTTTTTAATTTATTATCTTTAATATAGAAATAAGAAGTATTTCAAATATGTTATAACAATTGAATCATTATTATAGATAGGTGTCTTTGAACACCTGATAATTGATTACAAATTTTAATAATAAAATGAATACGAGACAAGTATGTGGAATGTGTCAAGTGTGTCATGTGTGTGTGTGTGTGGAATGTACCCATATGTGTGTACAAAAATGTACGTAAAATGGAATAAGATAATAAATAAGAGTGAGAAGGGGATGAAATTAAGTAATAAACATTTTTATCGATTGAGAAAGTGTGATAATGGTTTGAAAATAACTTGAGATGAGAAGAGTGAAAGAAAATAAGAAAAAAAAAAATAGTCGATAGTCTAAGGCAAAGGTAAAGGCGAGTGTGTGGCATTCGAAGAGAGAGAAAGAGAGAGAGAGAGAGACACACACGTTCGATGACTTTTAAAACGGGATTGCGTAATCCTTTGGATTTAGTTTACTTTCGTCGGTGTCGATGCCACGCACGTAGCGTGACCGTGGCACTGAACCAGCAGCGGCACGAACTTTCTCGTGGCCTTCGTTCCAGGAAGACGTTTTACGTGACACGACGAAGTACTGGACGCCAATTCGCTGCAAACTATCATCATCATCATCATCATCACTAACTTCACGTTTGAACGATGAAGAATAAGTTACTTATTCGTCCATTGCATTCTTCATATCGATTATTCATTTTTTTTTTTTTTATTTCAAAATTCAACACGTAAGATGATAATAAGGCATATAATGTGTTTCATTAATTAGACTGTTCATTTTAATTATGTGTTTGTGTATTTTGATATAAATGTATCAATGGATAATAAATATTAAATAAAAAAATTGTAAATTAATTATAGAAATATATATTTTATAATATAATTTATAATATAACATTATATAATTATATATTATATTATATATTATTATGTTAATATTATATATTATATATT